TTACCCCTTGTCCTCACCATGTGACTCCTTGTCAAAAGGGAGTCTCCATCTTCTTTGTAGCTCCCCTTTAAGTACTGGTACATGGTAATGAGATCACCTCTAAGCCTCCTTTTCTCAAGGCTGAACAAACCCAGCTCTCTCAGCCTATCCTCATATGGCAGATTATTTTTATTTTTCATGCAAACTGTGCTGCAGGACTGCGTCTTCTAATTACAGCACTGTCTATTGAGAGATTTTTAGGTTGAAGTCCACAAAGAAAACAAGAAGCAAAACTAAATCTAGGAACCGTGATCCTAGAGCGTTAGAGTTGGGAGTAGGGTGGGAGCGTACAAAGCCATCGATATGGTCCAAAACAAATGATAAATGGTTTTATTTGAGTTTGGAATACTAGCTGACTAAACTTAGGACACCAGTGTCATTTCCAGAGGTGAGGGAGGTTTTATCACATGGCAATGACTACATTCAGATTATTTTACCCAGCAGTCAATACCCTCTGTAGAAGGAAAACTGAATTTTCATGCAAATCAACCACAAGCTATGAGGAAAAAACAGGAAGACTCATTCTCATAAATGTAGACAGGCAATAGTGAAATACACACAAACCAAAGGTAACTACAAAGGTAGCTCCACTTGTGTTTATGTTTCAAACATAATACTGTTCTGGGCAGATACGTATAGCTAATTTGAGAACAATTACAGTGCCCTCTGTTGTGCAACACCTTTTGTTTAGGGATTGACATTTTAGCATTTATTATGACTTTTTGGGGGTGTTTGTGTGTACCTTATGCAAATATCATCTAATTAACTTGCTATTATCAATCAAGTTTAAACAGGAATGCAAAATTAGTCTTGTATTTTAAGCTATTACTACCTGACATTTGTCTCCTAAAAGCTCTGTTGGCTTGATTTTCTTGGGGGAGGTGGGGGATGGAGAGGGATAAACACACACAGCAGGGGAAAAAAAAAAAATATCCACGCTCTAAAAGGGAAGTAATGACAGACTATACCTGTGAGTTGAACCAAACAACACTACTAGTAAGGTATCCAACTTCATTTTTGACTTGCATTTATTTTGGATGTACCCACATGTATCACACTTCAGTTTTAGACTTGCACCACAAGCTGCATTCACTATAGTTATGCAGTTAGAGTTAGTATATATGGATTATAGTTAGTATATATGGATACCAACCTTGATTCAAGTATGTAAGAGTTTCATCATATAATTTTACTGCCGGAGATGTTGCAGCACACATAACATACTGGAAGGGTGGATGTTTGGTCTCATTTTCTTGTGGAAGGCTGGAATCTTCCTGTTTGAAAATAGGCAGTGCCAAAACATCACTGAAAAGAACAAACAAATAACTTTGTGAGACTGTTGGCCCTGTTTTGCCTGAAGTTAAAGAAAAAAAGTTATTTGTGACTTAAAAAAAACCCACAGTGTTACAGGTGCAGAATTGTGTCACTCTGATTTTATTAGTGAAAACAACGTAAGCAGTATCCAAAACATTTTCCACCAAAATTTTAGGCTAGGATACATAAACAATGCTCTGGGACCTCAGCAGACAATAAAGTAAGTTGTGCTGATCCTCTGAAAATTTGATCTTCAGTTCTTGTCTCCACTGAAAAAAATCAGTTTACTATTCACCTGTCAACACAGGCAAGCTTGCCTAATACACGTGCAGCTGAGAGCAATGCATTTACTTTGTTCTTTGAAAAAATATATTCCCCAAAGTTACTTACACTGTGAAAATCTTTCTCCCCATTTAGTGTAATTGTATCTAACTATTAATTCTGTTGATATTAAAGATTTTTCAATCTTAACTTTTTTTAGGCTTTAGCACACCAGATAGCACAAAAATGATTAAGCAGCAGATGCACAAAACCTAAGTTATAGAAAGTATATGCCAAGACTCACTTCACTTACAGACATAAGACCAGAAAAACTCTGGAACAGCAAAGTTTCTGAAGAGTAAAGAGCAATCCATGCTGTCCACAGGTAGCAGTAACAGAGACAGCTTCACCACAACCAGCAAACTCATCATCTGCTTTCTACAGAATTAAACATTCTGTATTAACAATATATTTGTTTTCCTTGTATACAGTAATCCTTCATAAATAAAACTTCAAAGAGATTAGTGAGTTCTGTTTAAAGGTAGTTTTTCTAGCACTGAATTTTTGTTCATGATGAAATTCTTATCTGCAGATCCCTGAAACTTCCTTTGAAACCTAGTTTCTAAACTGAAGATTTCTCACACAACCTCACCTGTTGCTTCAGTTTTTAATCTGCATGTATCTTTTGTTTTTCTCTTGCATGGATCACAATCATAGATTCAATATTTTTTGTAAAAGAATTAGAAATGTCTTCTGTATTGCACTATTATTTACACTTTATACCCTTGAAGTAAAATTATTTTTTGCTGTTCCTCATTTCTGTGAGAGGTTGCTTTATTTGAAGAGAACTCTGTAATTCCTCTTGAATTCCAGATCATATCTGGAAAATCAAAAAGTATTGGTATCATAATCAACTTAAAAAGTGAAATTACAGCCAATATTTCTATGTCACAGAAGGCTATAGGATAGACTTGGTCTACGTAAGCATTAGGTACAAGGAGTGCAGCTGGGGCATCCCAACTTTTCTTTCAGAGCACATGCCACATACAGTAAGTTAAAGCCCACATCATATTGCACTTCCCTGGCTACCTGGAAGAAGTTCTATTGACCTGAAAGAGGAAATACTTATGAACACTGAGAAAGCTTAAGAAGTTTGTCTATACCTTGTAGAAACTGAATAGTCTCTCCCAAAAAATAACAACTAGAATGAAAAAAGACCAAAAAAAAGACACCCATACAGGTTCCTTTCCACTAGGAAGAAACCACAGGAGATGCTACAAACAGGCATGCGAGAGGACAAGGCAGGATACTGTCCAAAAAAATCAGTACAAGCCTGCTCAACCATACCTTAGCTACTTCTGATACCAGCTCCCCAAAACAGAGCCCAGAGGAGGCTGTATTCCTTAACTAGGTACAAAGGAAGGCAATGTGAAATACCCACTTAAGAGAGATTGGTGGACTGCTGCTTGAGGATGACTCAGAAGGAACAACGAGATGCTTCATGCCTTGATGTCAGTCAAAAGGGCAGCATGAGCGGAGGGCAGCCCAACACAAGAGGGAGCAGTGCGACAAGCAGAGAGAAGCATCGTCCCAAGACGGGACTTCTACACCAGGAACCCATGCTCGTCACACACTTTGGCACATAAAACACTACTTGGTGTTTTTATGAAGAGGAACTTTAAAACAGAAAGAACACGGAAACAATAACGATGTTTAAAATACACACGTAAGAGTCAAAGTGCAACAAAGTAGGCATGCAAAGTACCTCACCAAATAAATAACCTGCAGTTCTTGACTAACTTCTAGAGCACTTGCTTTCACATAGCACGCAAGATTAAGAGGAGTCGTCTTTTGTGTATTTATAAAAAATATCTTTCAAGCCTTCATCTTCCACCCACAATTTGAAGATAAACATGCATCTGGTCTAGCTTAAGAATGTGTGCTGTGGTTAATGAACTAGTTGAATTAACAGACAAGGCACTGGAAGCCAACAAATACAAATGGAAGACAAATTTAGCCAGTTTCAAACCTACTTTTGCTAATACTTACAAAGTGGTAATGACTAACTGCCACTGCAGAAGAAAAAAACAAGACGACACCCAACTCCTCAACCCTACAATTTAGTTGTAAGGAGAGCATAATGCGTATTCTTAAATGCCACCATTCCAAAAAAATGCTCCAGCAAACAGCATGAGGCAAATGTAAGAATCTTCATTTATTTTCCCAAATAAAAACATACATTTTTCTTATAAAAGGAAGTCTTCTGGGTACTAGTACATTCCAAAGGAAAAGAGAAGCCAATGCAATTTAAAACTCCTTCCTAGACCGTCTTTAAATAAATACCGTTTAAATAACATTTTGATTTGTTCACTCATAAAGAATGAAATATCAGTGTTTTCACATTTAAACATACACTTGTTCCCATCTAAAAACAGTTAAAAGCTGCAGGCAATTAAAAAGAGTCAATAAGGTATGAATAAAGTATTTCAAATTAAGATTTGAAAGTGCCAGTGATAAAGAAATGTTAACCAATTTTAGAGCCAACTATTAATTCCTCATAAAAAAAGCGATGTATCTTTTCTGACTTTCAAGAAGGATGCCGCTATGAAGCGACTGACTGGTCTATCCTTCAGTCACCGTGGTACAGCAACAGAGGATGACCAGTTTTATTCGATACCCGTGAGCCTATGGTTCAGCAACGCAAAAGGTCTTCTGGGCAGTCCTGGCATAAAGAATTTCTGCCAGATGTGCTGCTCCCTCCCCACCCTTCCCCTCTACAAAATATCTTCTTGGCTACGTTGGGATCTCTACCAGTTCATAGCACAGCCCAACACACAGCTACACAACTGAGGGTGGCAAAAGCAGGTGATAAAAATCTTACTGTAGAGAAACCCCCATCCTACCAAACATAACTTGAGGGCAGGCATAATGAGTTAAGCCCATTTCCCTTCTCATGATTGGCAGTAACAGGGATATAGGAATCAGGGAAGAAATTGCTAATGTCTCCGTTTCCCTAGAAAATCATTAGGAACATGCAGCTTTGATAAATACTAGAATACAAAGAACATTCCTCCCAGTTTTCTGAGGCCAAACTCCCCTGTTGTTTATCTTTACATTAGTTCAAATAGGGACCATCCAAATTTCACAGTGACAAGCATTTTCTACAAAATGAAATTCATCACTCACAACTGAAGAAAAGATGCCAGGTGTACTCACAATTCAGAGTAGGAAATCAACAGGAAACAGAAATTTAATATTTTAAATAGCCCTCTTTACTTACACTGAAGAAGAGTATCTTGTAAGTGATAAACTGCATATAATATATGCTATTATACAGATCACGTTCCTAAAAGCTACAGAGATCCTAGATGACAGTCTTTTTACCACCTCTAATTTTATACCGATTCTATTATAAGCCCCAACAAAAAAAAAAAAAAACAGGAGAGCAGGTCAGCCTTCTCAGTTCTCGCTTTTCTTCCTCAGACCCCAGATACCATTTCTGCATTTATAATGAGCCGATGGACTGGCAGTGCAAATTATCTGCCCCCCAGTAAATCACTGGCAGCCTCCATGTTACTTCAGCATCCTTTAGTCATTTTCCTACTCACCTGGTGAAATTTGATTTGTGATGGCCCAATGCAGATTACTGACAGGCACTTTACTGCCAGCTTTGCTGAGGTTATTTAAAATGGCAAAGTACCTCTTACCTAAACTGAGGCACCCACTGGCAGAGTTGCCCAGATGGAGGAAAAATAAGTTTTCCAAAATAGCTACTGTTGAAATGATCTTGGGCTACATGAGAAAAGATCTTTAAGAGACTGATTCTGTTCTTTTTCTGCCACTGATAACTTTTGATCTTGTGAAGTAAAAGACTAATTTACTTCACTTGCCTCATCTAGGTGAACTTTGGACTATTACAAGCAAGCTGAGGTATAAATGAATAGCAATGTTTTGAAGGAGAAGTAGCATCTTTTGTTAGACTTCTTGATATCATTTGAAAAAGCAGATCTGTCAAGGTTTACTCTCCTGATGGAGGGAACTTTGAGACCAAATTTTTGAAACTATTAGCTCCAGCAAGAAAAAGTCTTATCTCAGTCCATCACAATTTGTTATCTAAAACATTCAACTGAAAGCATTCTTTCTTCCCAGAGGGAGGAGAAAATTTTCCCAGGAAAACAAACAGAAACAGTCTTCATTACGCACCAAAAGCAGGCAGTAAACACATCTCCAACACCCAATCTCTTAGTTAGCTATTCTACAGAAGTGCATAAATGAAACTTCACCCTACAAAAGTAGGAAGGCTTAGAAGAGAAAGCAAGGTGCATGTTAACACTTGAACCAAAGCATCCAGTGGGATGGATCATGTGTGACAGGCTATCCTATGTTATGTAGACTACCTGAGCATAGTACAAAAAGACCAAGAAAAATGTAAGTTATCCTTCTCCCATGCTTGTGAAATGTGTTTGTCAGCCACAAAATCACCCTCCTTCCAAATTGAAAACCCTCTTTTCAACACTTTTTCTGAAGCATTAAAAAAAACAAAAACAAAAACAAAACAAAAAACAAACCAAAGCCCTGCCTAATAATAATAGGGTCACAAAATAGATGAAGAACCTCCTGTCCTTACAAGAACAGGAACTACTAAGTCATCAAAATTCAAAGTGACTTTCCATCAATCATCTGCCTTATCTGTCTTCTGGATTGTATACTTTTGGGTGTGAGTACTAAAG